ATAAGTTACTATTTGTTGGTACAAAAAACAGTTTACAGATTGAACTCCTTCATGGCGTTTTTATGTGTTTTTGGTTTCAACACCTTATTTTAGAGCAAAATGCTAATGTAAATAGCATTGGTAGTTACCATTGGTAGTACGTATAATGCGAGAATTTACTACATTTGGTACCAACTTACATACATTTTTATTGATGTTCGTTTTATATTTACTATGAATAAAAACACATTGTACCTATTTTATCTATTTAAATATTTATATAATAACTAACTTTCCCAGCAAATGAAAGTTTGAAAGTCAAGGAAAACTGAAAATCCTGTTTCCTCTCGAATTAAAATGATTGAAACCTACCATTTAATTCGTCGTATTAACTATATTATAACAAACCATAATAATTGAATTCAATTAATTAAATATCTCCAAACAATCACAAGGCTACTCCACCCAATTTTCTGTGCTAAGACCAGCACCGGTGGCAGGTGGGCAGTCAGCGCAAGAATTTCGTTCCTCACCCATTTGAAATTACAACAAAAGATATATAGAAGCGACTATACATATATAGCATAGCTGTTTGTAGTTAGGTGGTTTGTGCTGGACGAGGACCAAGATAAATTACTAGTTATATATTAGACGTTGTTATTATTTTTTGTTATTATAACGTGGAAGAGCCATGCTCGACCGGAGTGATACCACGGCCTCCAAATCCCTGCTGACTCGAGCGAGGACTCTAAGGGCGGCAACGCTCTTGTGACTTTAGAGTTGACCCGTCTGATCGTCTGCCCCCTTATACCAAAAAAAAAAAACAGTTTTTGTTGGCTCCGCTATCGCTGTGTATATTCACCTTAATATTCTGAGTTTTCTCTGAGGTATATTCAATTTCGTTTTCAGTTCGAGTGAAAGTTTTTAGAGGAAATATGTGAAGCGCTATTTCGCTTTGACTAAAGCAAGCTGTTTTTTCATCAAACGAATTTTATTTAAGTTCATATGGGGAATGTGTGTCAAGGTGAGCCTCTAGTTTGTACAGGGTTTAGAAGGGAAAGTTGAAAATAATAATCATCAACAGTCTATAACAGTCAACTGCTGGACATAGGCCTCTCCTTAGAAAGGAGGTTTTGGCCTACTATACCACGCTGGCCAGACGGGTTGGTACAGGGTTTCCTTCTCTTTGCAGTGCTGTTGTCAGTGATAAATAGGGGTGGTGACATTCCGGGTTCTTAATCCGTCACCACACGGACATATTAATATTCGGTCTAATAATTTGATGTTAAATATTGTTTTTGTCTTGTCCTATTTGAGCCATTTAACATTAATCACCCTTAAGCTTTTGCGTCCTCTAATATATAAATAGTCGTCAGTTTACACATGGAATAAGGACACTGTTAGTATAGTATCAACATAGCAATAGCATTTCAACTCCACGGATAGCGTAGTGGTTTAAGCGTTCGCCACGCCGCTTCCTACTACGCCAAGTGTTGTGGCTTCAAACCCCACATGGGACGACACTTTGTGTGATCCACAAATTGTTGTTCTGACTCTGGGTGTTATTTGTGTCCGTTTCATGTATGTTTGTAAAGTCCTCCGCGAAACAGGATATTTTTTCCTAATGCGGGAGTTGTCTTTTTAAAAAAATCAAATTCAATACCAACATTTATCGAAAATGTGTTGGTAGATATAGAAATATCACCACTATTAGTTTGTACTCCACTGAGCCAGTGTATTCTGGTCAAAACATCAGGTAAATCAAATATATAAAACGTATTATCCTTATTTGATCGTCTGATAATTTCTTCTAATAGTCATCATCATCACATCAACAGCCTTTAATAGTCCACTGCTGTACATAAGCCTCTCCTTAGGAAGGAGGTTTTGGCCTACTATACCACGCTGGCCAGATGGGTTGGTATAGGGTTTATTTCAAGTTTTCCTTCTCTTTGCAGTGCTATCCTCTGATGTCCTCTGATAAATAGGGGTGGCGACAATTCAAATTTTTAATTCATCACCACATGGACTTTTAATAGTTTATCACATAAATTTTAAATTAAAAATAATATAAACCACTTTTGATAAAATGGATAACAGTTATATTAATAGGAACGTAATCTCGTAAACACATTAATACTTCTTACGGTCACCATAGTAATAATTTCCTTCATACAGTAGGACGTTTGGGACTCAGATGTTTCAAAACCCTGACTGTGTTCAGCAAAGGTCACGTTGCTCACCGCCCATTAAACATTTGTCATATCCTAAGGCTCACGCCGGATGATCCGCAGATATATGATAGCGGTCACTTCATATGTCTCCTAGGAGTTTCAGCCATCTTAGGAAACCGGACCTGCTGTTATAAATTACCTACAATAATATATATTATAGTAACTTTTGCCTGAGGGTTTGTGCGTGTTAATATCGGTTATGTCAAACCATGTTTCAGTCCTTCAGATTCGTTCAGTCTTTATGGTTTGATTGAATACCCATTAAAACTTTCGCATTTTAATTATTAGTAATAATAATAATAATTTGTTTCTCACCACAATATAGTACTCACTACATGTTAAAAAATATATTTTTATATATCCTTTTTAGAATATTGTGGGAGACTGGTGCATATAGCCTAGGGTCGAGGCTTGTGTTTCAGGACACCAGGTGTCTACCCCGTGTATACTTACATTTTAATATTTTTACACATAATAAAATAAGCTTAAACAACTATTTTCTAACCATGAAAGAGATCTTAGCTCCACTAATAATCTTTTACTCCTATGTCTAATACATACTTCTTCTCCTGTTCATTCTTCTTTTGCTGTCCAATCTAAATATATTAAGGAGCATCATACATTGAGAAATGTAATTTATTGTTCATAACTATTGGCTTTTTAAAACTTTGCACACAATTCTACAGTACAGTACAGTACAGTTCAGTGTGTACAATAAAGAATAAATAAATAACAATTAAAATTAATGCTGGTGCTTAATCAAGACTTGGTAACATAGGTCCTAGGCTTTTTTCATTTTTTTTGTTGACGGTCTGGAAAATCCCTTCGGATCTCCTCCTCCTCAGGGACTCAGGAGCCAGAAGTATGTAGTGATTCCACTAAAAACCACCCTGACGGCATGCCTCAGATGTCCTACTCTGGGAGGACCCGGACCATGTTATTTCATGTCCCCCGATGACTTGACACCATGCCTAATCAGGCCCCACCCCAGAGGAGAATACTCCCCTCCCCCCTCAATCGCGGCATGGCGGCTTGATTGCATCTTAAGGCAATTAGGCTGCCAATCTTTTCCCTACCGAAGCAATCAATCTGCCACCAGAGGTCCCCACTCTCTGGCGGCCCGCGGCCCCGTCAACGACTGGTATCGTCGCCGATGTATTGGTCCTAGGCCTACAAATTGATTTTTAACTGACAATCACTGGTAGTAACCTTGTGGTGACTGATTAAGAATATGGAATGTCACCACCCCTGTTCATCCCGTGGGTGTCTTAAGAGACGACTAAGGGCGCAAACTGCGCAGGGCAACAGCACTGCAAAGAAAAGGAAAACTTGAAACAAACCCGTCTGGCCAGCGTCGTATAGTAGGCCAAAACCTCCTTTCTAAGGAGAGGCCTATGTCCAGCAGTGGACTGTTAAAGGCTGTTGATGATGACGAATCTAGCTTGATAAATAATTGCAAAAGCAACTTATATTAGTAAAAGTTAGTAAGTGCATTGTTATAACAGAACATTGGTTGTATCTCATACACGTCACATGTTTATGTCTCACCTATATTCCTGGAATAAACCGCGTCATCAACATTTTACGAAGGTTCATTCTCATTGTTTCGTTTTTCCCCAAGATATTCAGTAAGTAAAATTTGTTTATATGAATGTAAATTGTGGCAGTATATTCTCGGTGTCACCGTATAGAAGTTTTTTATGTCTGTACGAGATATAGTGTTCATTTTAACAAATGCTTTTATATTTTCATGTTTGTTTATTTCATATACAGAGATCTTTGAGTTTCATATTTAAATATCGTTTTTAGCTATATTGAAAGCCAATAAGATGATCAGTGTAAGAAATTTTTACACTTTTAAAATCCTTTTTTTTTTTCTCTTTCTTTCTTGCTTCTTTATCATCATCATCAACAGTCTTTACTAGTCCACTGCTGGACACAGGGCTCTCTTCAGATAGGAGGTTACACACACACGCTTAGGTTACGTTACACACATACGTTTCTTTTTACACAGCATAAATAGGGATGTAAGGTTGCTATGCTCCTCTAATAAAAAGAAATGACCATTTGATCAATGTTGGATGGATTGCTGCGTTTCCGTTGATATTAAGAAGTTGTTTATACACTATTTAAAATATAAATTCCTAATGCGTGATACAAGATCAATTGTTGTAAAGTTATTTGGTGTGTCTTCGCTAGATGTCGCTGAATCATCCTTTGTGGATTTCAATTTTAATAAAATATTTTTCTGTTAATTGGTAGACCACGCGTAAATTTTATATTTATTTACAAATACACTATTTCTGTCTCTAGGCACATAATATCGAGTTATTAAAAAATAAAGATTTATTTTGCACAATAAAATCAATTACTACATAATTATAAATTTCGATTTTCTTACAATGATAAGTGATATTTATTTCTGTAAGTAAATCTTTCAGATATTTTTACAAGTCGCACTTTACAGCTAGAAGGAGCCGGCATTTCTTAAGACTCACTCTGGGAAGAAACGCCGAAACAAACCACAGAGGTATCTTTTTCTTTAAGTCCGTAAACAAAGTTAAATAAAACTGTGCAAGTACAGTTTTATTTAAGTCTGGGTAGGCCTTTTAAAGAAAGGACCATAGCTTTGAGTCGGCCTGTCCATACAGACGGCATACAGGCTCCAGCCATTGTGTTGCCTAACCGATATTGGTCAACATCAAAATACAAATAAAAATATGTATCATGATTAATTACGGTAATTTTACATCCTCCGGTAATTAAAGAGAAGATAAATCCACTCACATGTATGTTCTGATCGCTGTCATTAATTGGCGTTGTTCCGTTGAACCACTGGATCAGTGCCGCTGGCCGGGCGCCAGTTACCTTGCACATCAAAGTCAGTAGGGTTCCTTGGACTGCGTGCTCCCCGACACCAGATATAAACGTCTTGTTTGGAGGAACTGGAAGAAAAAAACAGAAAGTTGGATTAAAAATTTGTTGTGAAACATTGAAGTTTTGAATAATCAATATTGGTGCCTAAATAATGTCGTTTGTTAGTACAAAAATAGTAAAGTATACATAAACAATAGTATTTCCTCAAATTTCAAAGCAGATATTTATAAATTACTACTAAAAACTTTTAAGAACATTACGATGCCTTAAGAAACTGTCAAATAAATCTAATAATCCAACCTCTCCTTAAGGCGGCGGCTGACGAGGGATGACAGAAAGGATTTCTAACGTCAAGTTGTGGCAGGAAATGTTCCTTCTCTAATTATTTTATTAGAAGCGAATCTGTGTTATCTCAGACAGTGTCTTTGATGGAGAAGGAAAATTGTTTTCAATTTGGAACAATTTTTTTTTAATAATTCGAACTTTTGTAATAATTTGATTTAAAACAACGTAAATACTTTCTTTACCGATTGGATACCAAGAAATAAAACGTTATTTTTATTATAATATTTTTAAAAACGTATATTAAAATTTATTTATTTGGGCAATTTTATGTTTACTATGTGGTGACGGATTAAGAATACTGAGTGTTACCTCCCCTATTCATCCCGTGGGTTTCGTAAGAGCCGACTGAGGGGATAAACAGCGCAGGACAACAGCACTGCAAAGAGAAGGAAACCTTGAAACAAACCCTATACCAACCCGTCTGGCCAGCGTGGTATAGTAGGCCAAAACCTCCTTTCTAAGGACTATGTCCAGCAGTGGACTAGTAGAGGCTGTTGATGATGATGGTGTTGTTAACTGTAACGTGTAACTATTAAATAAATATTAAAATTATGAACAAATATAAGTATCAATAATGATTATAATTAACTAGCTGACCCTGCGAACGTTGTTTTGCTATTTACATTTTTTTTTTGTGAATTTCTTAAAATCGGGTCTTAGCTGACCTCTACTCGGTGAAAAGAATATTCCTACCAAATTTCAAGTCTTTAGCTCTAATGGTTCCAGAGATATCGTGATGAGTGACTATATACGTGGAAATCTCTTATATATATATATAGATAATATAATAACACATGACATGTATAGTTACCATGATTGTATCTTACTGTATTAATTACAAACAAAACATTCTACTGTATATATAGTTGTGTTATCTCCCTCTCTCCCAAACAAACTGTGCTGCTCCCAACAGAGTCCATAATTGTTGCCGCTTGATTTGTTATTACCCATGTATTTACATTATGGACGCAATAAATTATTGAGTATGTATGTGTTACAGTGTATGACATTTTGATTTAAAATAGATCTTAGACATTAGTTCCTTTAATCCTTAAGGTACACTAGTCAGTTACAGTAGTAGGGATGTTTTGTTTCTACGGCTTTTTTACCATAAAGTTATTTAATAAAATTCAGTTCAAAAACTTTTGTAAAAAGAAAAATAAATTCTTAAAGAAAAAAATTGTAATATCAGCATTTTTATGTTTGTTATTTTGGAAAAAAAATGAAAATTATTTTTATGATAAAAAGTGTACTTCCTTTTTAGAGTAATTCGAATTTGTAGACGAAATACTCGTAGGTACCTACTAGGCATAGAAAATTAAGAAATATTAAATACACTCAATGGTTAAACATAGAACATCAGGACTCAGAACAAAAATTTGTGGATCACACAAAGTGTCGTCCCATGTAGGGATCTGACCCACAGCACTCAGCGTAGTAATGAGCGGCGTGGCATCCTCTTAAACCACTACGCCATCAGTGCAGTCCATATTAACCCATATTTATTTTTCTCGCATTACATTTTCACAAATTTATCGATAGAATACTTTCACATCCCTAGATTACACTATCTTGCCACTTATTAGCTATATGGAGTCTCAATTTATCGGATGGGTGATGAAAATTGCTCGGTAGTGTAGTGCCAAGTTCGTTAGACGGTCACTCAATATGCTCTTGTAGGTCTAAAGTGTAAAGAGTATTTGGGGAAAGGTAATTAATTTACTTAAATATATATTTTACATATTTACAACTAGAGAAGAGACTTTGTTAATAGATGTTAATGGATTTCATAATTTTTCTGGAATAGTACTTTTTCTTTATCTAAAATTAAAATTCTGAGGGTTTCGTACTAATTTGTGGAGACATTATAATTACTTATATTGTTGTGTTAAATTGTGGTTTTATTAACAATTCATACCTAAATTAGTTAGGTAACCTAATGAAAGCTGTTTTAAGGGTTCCGTACCTCAAAAGGTAAAAAAGGAACCCTTATAACATCACTTTCTTGTACGTCTGTCTGTCTGTCCGCCTATCCGTGTGTCGCCACCGATTTTCTCAGGAACAGGTAGACTACCAAGTTGAAATTTATACCAGATACTGAGGTCTATAGTCCTTATTTGGTGTATAAAAATCAAGGTCCTGAGTCAAATTCAAGGAGGACAAATTTCGATTTTCAGCACAAATAAAGGAATAATTCCAAAAAATAAAAAAAAGTTGAAAATTAAGATAAATTTTGGTACTTACAAATTTTCGCGAAAAACTACGTAACATCTGGAATTACGTACGGAATCCTCGGCGCACGAGTTCGACTCGTACCTGACCGGTTTTTTAATCAACTTTCAAATTTCATCCAGGTTTGTAAGTGATGATTGATAAAAGAAAGAATAGTATCGCATTATAGATCTAAGTTGTTTTTTTTTGTCAATTACGTAACGTATGTTTAAAACTTTTAATATAGACTTAATATTTTATTATTGAATTACAAATGTTTTCAGTTTTTGTCTGTACTTGTAGTACTTGTTGTAGTTATGCGTTTTTTTGAGGCATAAACAGCCATTTATTTGTACGCCAACTTAGAAGTTTGATTTTTTTACAGCTGACTATATGGTTTTAATTTCAACTCGATACCACCACGCGTTATCGAGATAAAGGGTACCCGCAAAATTGCATGATAATTTAATTGACAAACATACTTGTTTTCTCATTTCTAATATTAGTAAGAATAACACAATGTAATCTTTTACTATAGTATAATTAAAGTTGAAATTAGTGTGACAGAATTAAGACTAAAGCTCTTGTTAAACAATATAAATGGAAAATCGGTTGATAAACAGAGAAAATAATTGACTTTATTATTTTGACATGTTTGTACAACCCGCTTCAAAGATTGTTTTTATCCATAATTCGCGTCACTTTTGATCCTTAGTTCTTATCAATGCAGTCAAAATGTGCCACAGCGGAACCTGGCAGCGTAGAGCTATTATACATAGTTATGACACTACATAGAATAGATAGATTATGCCGAAACACTAATATCCCTTTTCACAGTTCAACTTAGTTGACTTCAATACAGTTTAGAATTTTGCTCGTCCTCGGATCTTGTATCAAACGCTAAAGTTTAACCAATAAAGACAAAACTCAAGCAAGTTTTCAAACTAGCCTAATACGACCAGGGGGTGGCATCCCTTTCCTATCCAATAACACTGTATTAGCCAATAAATTGACAATTAATAAACAAGTTTCAAATCGCTTAGGGTTGTCAAAAATAAAACATACTGCGCATGATGGAAAAAAGATGAAATATTATATTTTATTCTTCGAAATTCTTTATTGTTCGTCCTTTTCTGTATTGCTAACAAAATATATGTACAATTTTTTGCTGATAAAACTCATATTTGCACATAACTCAGTTAATAATCTGATTATCTTTACTAAGAAGGACTGCCAAAAATGAATGTGTCCATCCTTTGCCTTACTTTATACATGTGATAAGCTTATAAAACTTTTGCACACAAGTTTCTTTTAAATTACTCTAATGGCTGGATCCGGACTCCCGCAGAATCACGGACTGCGGGAGTCCGTGATTCTGCGGAATTGTCACGCACGGTCAATCGAGCACCGCATCAAATTTTTAAGGGTGTGAGGCTGGGTAATATTTTATATTCCAAGCTATTTTGTCAGTTCATATTAACAAGTTTGTACCGCATTTTTGACACGTGTCTTTGTTTTTACGGATTCTTTTACTCCTAATATTCTTCTCACGGTGAATCGGTCCGGAATATCACACATGGTTAGAAGCCAGAAGCTAGTGGTGTGTTCATGATGGTTTTATCATAAGAACACTGTACGCTGTGACATATGTATTTTAGAGTAAGGTTGACTCAAAAAAATTTCTGTAAAATATCCATAAGCTCAGGAAGTTTGACAATAATATAAAACCTTTTGAATTAAATTATTGATTTTGTAAATTGACAACCCTAGTTTGAACCAAACTTTGGGCATTGGACCACTGGATTCGGTTTTGGGCTGAAAATCATTTGTCCCTTTGATTTTAGGGTTCGAACTTTATAACGGAAAGGGATATAACATAAGACATTAAGTCGATATTTAGTAGCTTTCATAAGTAATTTACGAAATACAACACCCAACATCTGCTTCACCTATCTATAGCCTAGTAACAAGTTAAGTTGACGGGCCTGTTGGTCTAGTGGTTAGTGACCCTGACTGCTAAGCCAGAGATCGTGGGTTCGATTCTCACCTGGGTCGTATAATTGTGTGATGGGCACGATCATTTGTTCTGTGTCTGGGTTTTATTTATTTATAATATGTATGTATTTAGAAATATATAAGTATGTTTATCAGCAGTCTGGTTACCATAGTACAGGCACTGCCTAGTTTAGGATCAGACGGCCTTGTGTGCGATTATTCTTCTTTCTTACTTCTGTTAAAGTGATCCATCTAGAATTAATATAATATTATTATATGAAAGGGCAGTCTCAACTGGAGTGACACCACGGCTTCACATAAAGTTAAGCAATCCTTTTGCGGCTTTCCACTAATGATTTTAAGGGAGGATTTAAAGAGTGGCAACCCTAAGTGGGTTGACTTTGGTTGTAGGTATCCATCGCAGCGGTGGTCACTTACCATCAGGTGACCCGTTTGTTCGTTTGCCCTCGTACACCATAAAAGAGAAAAAACTGAGACAGACTTAGCTTGTTGGCAG